CATTCCCCCGGAGGAGCTGGAGGAAGTGTCTGGAGAGAGGGAAGTCTGGGCATCTTTGCTTAGACTGCTGCCCCCGCAACCCGGTCCCGGATAAGCGGAGGAAAATGGATGGATGGATATTTCTATTTTGGACACTGAACACTCAGAAAGGACAGGTTTTCAATCCCATAGTTCGTTTTTACCTGTGTGTGTATACCATGTGCAATAAGCTACAAAGACATTTGTGTCACACAGGAAGTTTGTTCACCTTTTGACATTTTCAAGGCAGCTATGTGAGTGCCTTAAATAAAACAATCTACAGTGATGAACAGAAGTGAGCTAAAATCTTGATATTCCCATAAGAGTCACTGCTGAGAGACAGAAAATGCTGTCAGCATCTGTCAACTGTGCGGGGGTGTTCACAACCCTTCTTCGAGTGTGTGCATCAGTCATGATGACACATCTGAGAGTGTAACATCTCTTCTATCTTAAGTTGGTTTGTATAGCACTGAATATATAGAAATTTGCAAGAAATTAAAGGACAAACCTGAATAATTGAGTGGCTTCTCTTCCGGGATGACGATGCCCCCATCTGTAGGGCATGAGGGATCACTGAATGGTTTGATGAGTATGAAAATGATGTGTCATATGCTATGGCCCTCACAGTCACCAGATGTGTTAGACAGCATCAGCATCTCCACCACCACCATCAAAACCACAAAAGAGGGAATATCTTTTGGAAGAATGGTGTTCATTCCTCCAGTCAGGTTCGGAAACTGCCAAGCTGTTCAGGTGGCACGTGGTGGCTCAACACCTTACTAAGACATTTTCTGTTGGATTTTCCCTGTATGTGTGTGAGGTATAACTGGAATCGCGTAGGCAATGTGGCATGCTGACAGGATATATCTATCTATCTATCTATCGCTATACCTATATCTATATCTATAGATATATATATCTCAAGCACAAGTAAAGTTTAGGATGCGTCTATAGCTAGCATACAGCTGCATGTAATTCAGGGGATCCAGTAAGTCTAATAGCAGTTATGCCCAAAAGGGGAAAAAATAGAGAGAAAAGAACAAAAAGGCATAATGTTTTGTTTCATTGAGTATATGTGTATAAAAGAAAAAGAAAGCTGAAATATGAAAGTAATCATTTTCTGACTAAAAACCTGCAGAAGTAATGTAAGACAGAATAGCTCATTTTGTGAAAAAACACCTAAAACATGAATTTCGCTAAAATTGTGTCTTATATGTTGAAATTAAGTTATGACAACATTAAAAATAAGCATGACTTTAATATGGAGGAAAGCCTTACTGCACATTATTGTCACCATAACTCCATCTCAGGTTTAAAATGAGGTGGATTACTCCCAGACAATCTCCCATTAAAGAGTCTTTGGGAATAAAAACAATTATTAAGATAATAACAGCTGTCATTCTTAAACTACAGGAGAATATTTATAACAGCACATTATGTATAATACCAACCACTGGCATTACACTAACAGTCTAAACAAGCAACCATGAGAACAACTCTTCCTCAGACTACAACTGGGAAAATAATAATATTTAGTCAGCATCACACTGCAATAGCCACAGTGTTAACCCTAATCTGAAATGACAGGCAAACTGACATTTTAACACACTACTAAAGACTTAAAAACATCCTGTTAGCCAGCTTGTCTCTAGACCTGCAACTCAGATCCAACCAAAAGAGGAACGTAAAAATGCTTCTTGAAGGATAGCTACCAAAAAGAACTGAAGGGTGAGGAATAGGAGCAGTAGCACAGGGGTAAAAGATAAAGGGTAGTGAATTATCAATATGAGCACAGCTGGCAATGCCCCTGTCAGAAGCAGAGCAATCAAACGGGAAGGCCAAACATAGATTTAGAGGATGAGGGAGGCATACACTGTAACAGCCGACATATCAGGAGAGACTGTAAAGAAATAACCCTCAGATATGGCAAAGATAACCTTTACCTATACTTATAGTTCTACAGTACATGCCCTTCTACACTGTAGGTCAGATTGTAACACTACCCTTGAGGGAGGAAAACACTCCCAATGAGTTCATGAGGAACTGACCAAGTTATGGTTTACTGGGCATGCAAATGTGATGTATTTTCATCTGGAGGGAAAGAAAACGACAGAGAAGGAGCTGAGACATGTGATCCGGTACAAACAGCCCAGTCAAAAAAAATGCTGTCCCTGGAATGTATTGGATCTGTATTGTGAGCAAGATTAATTATCTCAAAGTGAGGGGCTGCAATATGGTATGCTTCTCAGTAGAATCTGAACTTTTTTCCTTTCCCTCAATCACTTGCTCCCTTTTCTCCTCCTCATGAATTGAAATAAGCCATTTTTCGCTTGGATGCGAGGCAATAAGAAAGCTAAGGGTGGGGTTGTGTATGCGGTTGTGTGCCCAGCAGTACATCATGATTTTCTATTCAATTTTTCACTTAACCGACTAAAGTAGTATTAGTCTTCACTTTTTACAGACAGAATAGTTGATGGTGGAAGAATCCCCCCCCCACACACGCACACAGTGCTCATCTCCTTACCGTGCACAGGTCCTTGTACTGCATTTTCTGGAACTTGGTATCAGCATTCCCGGCACACAGCTCCACATATCCCAGCACTACTTGGAACACTGTGTTGTGGATGGCCTGAGTGAAGTGCATGTGCAGCTGGTCCATGGCAGTCTGCAGAGAAAGCCAAGTATGTGTTTATGAAAACCATTATGTCAAGATGTCACTGTCATCTGCCAGTGTGGATCTATGACAAAAATGAAATCAATTTTCCTAGAGACACATACTGTATGCTTGATATTTTAATTGTTTGCAGACATAGTTTGTTAGCTACACAGGATGGAAGGAGAGAAAACGAAGATAGCTGTCTAAACTGAGAAATGCAGTCCAAGTGAAAGTGGCCAATTTGTCTCTAGTTTTCATCATTTGCATCTCAGTTTGCTGTGGAGAGTGTCATTAATGATGCAATAAGGGCAAAAAAGAAATAGAAAAATAAAAAAAGCAGAGGCATAACAGACATGTATGGGATGGTGACACAGCTAACTGCCTCCAACTCTGTTCACTTGTGACACCAAGTATAATACTCTAAGCTGTTTCACCACATATATTCATACTCATTATCTGTGACCCAACATTTTTTCAGGTAAGATTGTTTTTAATAAGTTATTTGATGGCCTAACAAGAGGTGTATTTTGATTGATTTTACAGCTTTGTTGGCAGTCTGATGTTGTCACTCCACAACTGGTTGCTACTGTGCAGAATCTGGTTGCAAAAAGACAAGATGTCAGCTGCCCCATTGATGATATTTTGGCTTTATTTTTGCACAGTGGAGGGAAGTGTTTATGCAATGTCCATTGTATATATGCCAGTGGTTCATCTCTACAGGTGTGTTGTCAAGCAACATGTAGTCATTTGACCCAATGTCATTATAAAATATTGACTAGAGCAGCTTTAAAAATAATGAGGCAGACTAATAGAAAAAAGGACTTATTCTATTTGCACATTATATAACCTTGAAAATTTTAACTATCCTTTTTTCATTCATCATTAACAATCAAGGATTTCACTTTGCAACCAAACCAAAAACCCTCTCTTAAACATGATTTCACAAAAACAAAAAAACAAAAAAAAAACCATCTGCAGCATATTCTTGCTCCTTCACACTGGGCTCTGTTTTTGCTTTCACAGTTTCAGTCTGTTTTCCCCTATTCTCTTTCAGAGTTAAGCTACATTTACCATCATTTTCTGTTACCACCCACAGTCTCCCTATGGGACCCTAGTGAATTGAGGACACCACAGACTCAGGAGACATGGCCAAGGTATTAAGCAAAGGTAGTAAGTTGCAGTGCAATTATATTTTCTTACCGCAAGCTCATGGCCACAAAATGTTACACCCATCCATTCTGACAACCTGCTACCACAAAAGCAATTTAAAACATTTCTTCCTTCCTTTCTAAGGGAGTTTTACTTCATCTGTCCTAAAAAGACAGATAGAGATATAAAGCTGCAGCAAGAAAAGGACTACACCAACTCTCATAATAAGAATCACCATCTAAAGTCACTAATACCTAGGTGTAATGATTAGGCCCTAATCAGCTGCACAATCTAACAGAGTAATTCTTCTGTAGCTACTCATACTGCACAAGCACATGTTTCATATAGACAAATGTTAGAAAAACAAAGTGGTTGTCAGGCTCATTAGGCTATAAGGAACCAGGGTATGAGAAAGGTATTCAGAGTAAGAGACAAGAAACCAGTGTAAGGAGAAAGAAAATACACATGGTCTGAGGAGATACAGTGTGTCCTCTTGGATAGCACAATTCATTCCTGTATCCAACTGAAAACTGTCAAATTAAGTGTTTTGTGTGTGTGTGTCATGCCATCACAAGAACTCCTTAGTTAGCTTTTGAGTGTGAATAGTCTCATTATCACAGTAATGAGAAAAGCATTATTCATTCTCAACCAGCCCTGATGATGTAGTCTCCTGCCTCTTCAAGAATGGCTGTTAATGTTAAAAGGCATTCAGCACATTTATTAAAATCAACACTGGCTCAGATTTCATATAACAATGATGCCTTATGTTCATTGTTATGTGAGTGCTAGGATGAAAATGAGGCTCTTTAGTTCTGGATTTAACAATTACATTTTGTCAAGGCACCGCATGCACACATGAGTCCTGCAAAGTGTGGCATATTTAGCTTTTACAATGTCTATCCAATGGTTTCACAGAAATTACACTGACTTTATAACATGATAAAGCTGTACAGTAAGACTAAAATGCTTGTAGAACATTAATTTAGATCATGTAACTATTTTTAACTGGCAAGTATCCATACATCTACTGGGTGTAATCTGTCCCAGGCTCAACATCCACCATAAACTCTAAGCACAATGAATCCTTACACACTTTAAAATCACCTGAAGGCTGGTGCAGGAGGCCAGGGCTCATAATTCAGGATGGAACAGCATTTACAGAATCATGAGTTTTCTGACACTGCAACCTCATTGACATTTAAAATGACAGGTCCATAATTTCTCCTACTAATTGGAGGAGTAAAGTAACACATATTTCAAAAATAGCAAAGACAATACAAGCACAAAGTGGCAAATTTGATTAAAAAAAAAGTTTAGTTTCACACCTATGCAGCAAACATAAGATCAGGGCTATGAGAAAGAGACGAAGGAAGTGAAGACACGAGAAAGACCAAGTGCAGAAGATGATGATGGAGCACATGGGGTTATGATGGAACAAGCCCCTAGCATTGTGCATCTGTGTTTTAAGACAGAAAATATGGGGGCAAGATGGGGCACAGAAGAAAAGGCTGAATGACAGAAGAGTAAGATAGAAAGTGAAAGGAAATTATGATTAAGACCATTAAGATAATTTTATAGCTTCAATTTATCTGCTGCATAGGCCAAAAAATGCTACGCTCATTACACCATCATCGCTAACATTTTGAAGTTATATTATATTATGCTAGGATTACTTTTGAGACCTGTGTTTCTTTTTGTGAGCAATTCCTGTGGGTGTCAGTTGATTGACAGTAAGCAGTAATCACAAAGGATGATGTAGATGCCCTGTGGCTTCATTCAAAAAATCTAAAATATTCTTTCCTCCACTGAAACAAAAAGGAATAAGAAATCTTGAACAAACCAAATTATGCATGCTGTGATGTTTTAACTAGTCTGGCTGTAGAACATTGGTTTTATAATGTTCAAACATAAATGGTGGTAAAAAGGTCATGAAAGTAAGGAAACAACTGTGCAGACTGAATGGACACAGTCCTGAAACACTGTTGAGGGGAGTACAGCCAAGTCAAACAACACAATCTTGCTGACATTATTGTTCACTTCCACTGAAATAAGAGACAAACAGGATCAAACAACAGGACATATGCAGTATGTGAGGACCTGTCACCCTGTAGATGAGTCAAACCACTGACCTGTGTCTTGCCTAGAAGCGTGTAGGCCAGCTGGACTTTGGTGTAGTGCGAAACATCAAAGTGCTTACAAGTCTTCGACAATGCCACATCAAGCTGCTCCTGGAGCCAGAAACAGATAGAAAATAAAGCATAAAAAGAGACAAAATGGGAGAAGAGAAAAGACAGGCATTATCCACATTAAGACCAGGGATTTAGATATAAATGTGCAGCTACAGAGCTGCCATGCAAGGCCAAGGACAGACAATTGGATGTGGGTGTATATATGCAAGTGTGTGTGGAAAGAAATAAGACGGTGTCTTTGAGAAAGAAATAAAAAGAGGTAAGAATGTTAGTAGGAAGCTGGGGAGCACAGGGATGTGTAACAAGCCTGACACAATAAGCCAACCTCAAAGAACACAGCACTGACAAAGCCTAAAGTGATCTTGCATCACTGCGCATTTTCTCACACCCTCATTTAAACGTAATGACATGCCCACAGCCAAAATGACAAACTTTCTATTAATTAATGAGAGGGTGTAATTAGTTAGCAACATTAATTCATAGTCCAGAGTACTTTAAGGACAGAAAAACAAAACCAAGTAGTGCCATTTTATATTGGTCTCATTATACAGTAAGTTGTGGAATTTTAAAAATACTACAGAATTTGGTGTGGTGATAGACAATGCCTACGCTAAAAAATTATTTTGATAACCTTTGATGGAGATATGAATTTTTTTTTTGACCAACGATAAAAATAGGAAAAGTTTTTGACCTTTGACCTTTTTCAGCAAAAATCTAATCACGTGTTGGTCCTCACCAATGTCTGTACCAATAATGTTGATGATCCATCCAGCCATTTGTCCATAATCCCGCTAACCAACACACATGGAACCAAAAACATAACCTCCTTGGCTGAGGTAATAAAGTATTATTTGACTGGCAGAAGACGACTGTTGATCTGAAATATGTTGCTGATTTCTTCAGCCGTATTATCAGTCACTGTAAACTTTCTTCTACACTCCTAGGTACCAGATCTGAAGCGAAGGTGTATTCACATTAACATTTCATTTTCCCATTCACATCATGACTGTTGGTAAACTGAAAAATTGTGGTGCTGCAATATTTTGTGAACCTGCTGGTAATTTACACCAGGCTTAGTAAATGTCCCCTTATGTGTAGAGCGTACATTTTTTCTTTAAATCTAAAATCTAAATGTAGGGGGCTATAAGTACAGTATATGTAGTATGAAAACAAAGAAGAGTAGGACAAAAATAGAATGATACTGCATTTTTGTCTATGAAGACCTGTTCTCCAATCATGATTAGAGAGCAGTGGCATTTCATTTAGTTCCTATTTTTAGAAAAATTACTAAACTCAGTTGATTGATTGGCTACTTTTCTACATAGGGCCTGGACCATATACAGTGCACGTATACAGTATCTACTGTAGATGCGTATACTGTAAGTTGAATACATATACTATACTGTACATGTGTGTGAGCGTCTGACAGTGAACTACTTTTAGATACTAAAATCCTGCCTTTAATGTGGCTGTGAATGTGTTATTTCTTATACTTTGGATATTCACAAACTCATGCTGACAGGTAAACAAAGAAAGCATGGCTAAATACTGTATGTGCGTGTACCCGCACTAAGTCATTAATCTACTCAGGCGCAGCAGCAATGCCAGAGAAAATTGCTTTGCATACTGTTTATCACACAGAAATATCACGACACAGCTGGAGATGAAACAGATATAATTTTCTGTGCTTGCACACCGACAATAATGGCTTTCTGAATGTGTCGATATCTGCCGACCCAGAATGAGAAAGCCAAACTATTAAAATGTTAGAAATAAGTATAAATTACTTCTTTCAGATGAGGGTTTGCGTAAAAAATACAGGGTTAGAGTAAAATGGTAAATGGTCTTATATTTGTATAGTGCTTTTCTACGCTTTACAGCACACTCAAAGCACTTTCACACTACTTGGACCCATTCGCACTGCCAAATGCACACACCGGTGTCATCGCCAGGAGCAACTGGGGGTTCAGTGTTTTGCTCAAGGACACTTCGACATTTTGACTGGACAAGCTGGGAATTGAACCACTAATCCTCCGGCTAGGAGATGACCCGCTCTACCTCCTGAACCACAGCCGCCCCCGTCTCTTTGCTGATATCGCTGTCAAATAATGGATTTTGAGATAAAGTAAGGAGAATCATACCTCGATTTGCTCCAAAGTGTCTTGTAGTTTGGAATTCAATTCACTGTGGAAGGAAAAAAAGGACATTGTTGAGAGTTAGTTCCACATTCCTGGACCAGAATATAGAATCAGCTAACAGCTATCAGCTAATTTTCATTAACAATTTAATTTTTTGTTTTTTTTTACTTAAGGTATTCATCACTTTGACAATAAAATAAAAAAAGTTAAGACAAAGATAAATGGTAAATGTTCTCAACAGGATACCAGAGTCTAAGCACAAACCGTAAATATAATAAAGAAATAAAGCAAATCTTCACATTAAAGAATCTGTAATCAAACCTTTGCCAGATTTTATCTTTCAGTTATATAAAAAAAAGGAAACTGATGTATCCAAACAAAAATTTTGTGAAGGCAAGTGTTAGTTTTGTTTCTGTTTCAAGTGTTGGTCCAATTTTTCATTTCTACAGTGGAATCCACTGCATAATTGGTGTTAACATGCATGTGTGCATGTCTGCAGTTACATCATGCTACCCAAGTTACAAAACACCTACACATCCTTGGAGCGTGCTCAGATTTTGCCTCGCCCTAGGAAATGCTTTCAACTAAAACAAAAAAAAACAAAAAAAAACCCAGAGGTAGCAACAGAAATCACGACTATTTTGTCCATTCCAATACACCAGTTCAGTTCCCGTGTTACTCCGCCAGCTGGGCACTGTGCCCATTTGCAATCATCCTCTGTCCCTGCTTTTCTTAAGGTCTTTTGCAGGTCAGCCTACTCTTTTGTGCCTTATGAGACTGCAGTTGCCCGTGGGAGACGGTGTCCTTAACAAAACGCTAATTAAGCAGCTCAGCTTCTTTTTCTCATTTTCCTCCTCACTCTCTATTGCGAATTGACAGACTCTCTGTACAGAGTGAGGAGGAGGAAGGAAATAAAAGGAGACTGCAGACTGAGACACATAGGCCACTGGCAAAACAGGTAACAAAATGAGCATTCCATTTCAAAAGTATATATACACTGTGACCCTTTGTGTATCTGCGTGGGTATGCATATGAGTGTGAGAAATATTGTAAATGAGTAATAAACAGGAATCAACATCCATGTTCAAACCTCCAGAGGAAGCTTTTAGCACAACTGGAGACTGATGGAATATGAAAGAAATGTCACTACAAGAAGGATGCCAAGCGGATCCTTACTATAAGCTGTCAACAAGACTCAAGAAACAGTCACTAAGTACGACGCGAACTGACAGACTGACATTACAGTGACAGTTAGAAGGGAAATACTTAAATTACCATCACCTCCTGAACTTAATTGCTAAAACCAAATGACAATTTACATTCACATTAGAGATTCTAGATCCGATACCATTTATCAGTGTGTATTGGACTGGTTTCAGCCAGAATAGAGCCAACTGAATTTCAGTCCTTATTTGGAACTACAGTCCTATATTCAAGTGGACTCCTTTGCGTTTTTGAAATGTGTGTGTCACGCTACCCATAAGCTGCTATATTAATCAATCAAGCTGTCTACACTGCCTGCATGGGGGCTGCCACCTGAAGCCTATTTTTAGCTGCAAGTCTATTGAACCCAGCATTTGGATCAAGAAGCTCAAAAACCATACAGTGTGCCAGATTATTTCAATTTCAATATGCAGATACATAATATTAAAGGAACTGGATCTGTATCACAGCCAAAAAACTGGACCAGGGCACACCTAATTCAAATAGTATGACACAACAAATGCCAAGAATGTAGTACTCCTAATCTCCATTTCTACCATAGTATAACTGAACCCAGTGAGCTGGTATTTGCCACAGCAATTATAATGCCAGAAATTCTCAACTACAAGATCAGTAAGGTATGTAATAACCAGTATCCTCAGTGAAAGCCATGGATGGAAGCCGGGATGAAGAAAACACACAAAGAAGTTATTACTGTGAGCTGGCTCAACTACAGAGGGGTGAACTGATAAATTCCAGAGCCTGGATACTGAAGCAATACATCTGACTGTCTATATGCAAGGCCCATGGGAGTGGTGAACAAAGCCTGCCAGTGTTGGCAGCCAATCTGAGGAGATACAGCAGAGGAGCAGAGGGCAACAGGATAAATGCCCTGTGTCTTCACAGAACGTTCCATTGCTCTGCCACACAGCAGTGTGGTAAGAGTAAGCACAAAGTGAACAGTACCAGAAGAGCATATGAGAGAAGGAAAATCTTCCCACAAGACTAGTGTTCAGGGGCTGTATGAGAGTAAAGCAGACCACTGCAATTTCCCAGAGTGGAAACCAGTCACCATCATAGCATGGCAAACAGCAGTGGTGATAGTAAATGAGAAGATCAACACTACTCTCCTGTCTGTGAAGTAAATATGAAGGAAAAGCCTAGGATTAAGATGGAAAGCAAACAAACAAGCTTTAAAAACGCTGAGTATCAATTTTTGTACCCTTGGACCGAGCCAGACTAGCAGTTTTTCCCATTTCCAGTCCTTTTGCTAAGATAAGACAACTGTCTGTATGCTTTACACAGCGCTACAGCCAGCAGACACAAGAGTGGTATCAGTCCTTCAGTCTGAGACATGTATTTCATAAAAATCAGACTATTCTTTTAAAAACTAGCAGAAAAAATGGACACTACCAGCCAGGCTTCACCCTGATTGGCTACTGTAGATCAATAATGTGTTCCTTAACATTGTCAAAACTTTGTGTCATATGCATCATAACCACTAAGCTAAACTGGATAGATAGACAAGAAGTAAAACCTAACTAACAATCAGTTCTCTGCAGGGAACAAGAAGAATGAAGTCAAGTTAGTGGAAACTGGGGGGTGTTTCTACCCATTTTCAATTATCACTGGCAACAGGTGTTCATGGGGCCTTGAGGCAAGTCCACAGTGACTTGCTGGCTCAATAACTAGACAATGCATGCTGTGCAACAAGGGTTGGCCGAATGCTCAGAATCTGAGAGAATGTCATTATGCTGTACTTATGAGTCACGACAAGGTAGGCAGAGAGACAACAGAGTGGCAGGAGAAGGGCTTAAAAGAGTAAAACAGTAATAAAGGTTAACAGCAATGAAAATTATGCTAGTGAGAAAACAGAGGAGATTATGGGAAAGTTCACAGAAAGGAGAGTGAGAAGAAAAAGATTTGATAAAGAAGGGAGTTTAGACAAAATGCATGGTGGGAAATGGTTCTAGCTGGACTAGGAAAATGTGTAATGATTGTGTTGTTTGATAGTTGCACTGTGACTGGCTCATGAGCTATGCATTTGCATATTAATTTTACATTTGTTTGTTTGCTTGCTTGTTTGTTTTCTAGACTGTGGGAACGGTGCAGAGAAGTGGAGTGGGTTTCACATGACAACACAGGGTTGTTGTCTGCTGGATGTCAACTCCAAAGAGATTTAAAGAAGATAGAAGATTACTATCTTACAATGGTTTAATTTTAGTATGGCACTGTTTTATTAATAAACACTAACCCACTAATAGAACAAGTTATGATTATTCTGTCTGTTATATTGACTACTCAAGTCCATTAGCCTATGTGATCATCTAATTAAACACAAATATTTGGAAAGAAGATAACACATCTAAGTAAAATAGGGCTGCTGAAGAACTAATGCACTCCGCCATAATTGGTACTCATCATGAAATGAACTGCAAGTGTAAACAAATTAAAATGTTAAGCATCTTCTTTCTTCCCCCCATAAAAGCACAACTGAAAAGCTAATGGTGGTGACAAACAGAGAACCGGGTAAATATCAAATCTGAAAAAGTCCCAAGACCCTGCTGGTCTTGCAAATGCCTGGATGGGGGTGCGGCTTTACCGTGATCTCTAGAACACTGCAAGTAAACACTATTCCAAGTGACACATTACTACCATAATTTTTATGGAAACAAAAAAAGCTTAACAAGGTAATTCTATATAAATTTTTGTGTTTTGTGGCAGCAAATTGGATCTTCCAGAGGTTATGTGTGTCTCACATGTACAGTGCCTTGCGAAAGTATTCGGCCCCCTTGAACTTTGCGACCTTTTGCCACATTTCAGGCTTCAAACATAAAGATATAAAACTGTAATTTTTTGTGAAGAATCAACAACAAGTGGGACACAATCATGAAGTGGAACGAAATTTATTGGATATTTCAAACTTTTTTAACAAATAAAAAACTGAAAAACTGGGCGTGCAAAATTATTCAGCCCCCTTAAGTTAATACTTTGTAGCGCCACCTTTTGCTCCGATTACAGCTGTAAGTCGCTTGGGGTATGTCTCTATCAGTTTTGCACATCAAGAGACTTAAATTTTGCCCATTCCTCCTTGCAAAACAGCTCAAGCTCAGTGAGGTTGGATGGAGAGCATTTGTGAACAG